TTACTTAATCATTACCAATTATTGAGCATCTTATTTGTCTCTCCATACAATATGAACATCTTAATCACCCTTAACTGACGAATGATGACAATTTGCGGCATTTTGAAATGTGTGACATTTATTTAACAATGACTGATTTTGGCCTATATTTAGTGTTAGTTCTTAAATTTTAAGCTTCACTCTCTGATTTTAGTATGAACGATATATTTTCAAGTATATGATACCTATTCCTAACTTTTATCATGATAGTTTCTGGGATGACTAGATTAAACACTGCTGAGTATACGTTTATCTTAATAGTGGTGTTCTTAAACTTCAATTTATTATTATTATTATTGAACAACTCTGGGTTTTGCATCTGTAACAATGTTCACAGTAAGCCTTCAGTCTCTTAGTGCGAGCTTTATTATCCTTGACAACAAGACTGTATTCTATTGTGCATGTGACTGTTACAAACACAACCGGTCCTCTGTCAAGCAATCAACCGGGGCTGAAGACCATTTAACTCAGACAGCTCAATCTGAATGTGTCAGAAATGTTTGTAGATTAATTAAACTCTTGCTCGTACCCCTGTCGTGAATAGTACAAGCTCTCTCTCTCTGTGAGTGTATGCTCTCAGTACCCTACACATATTGTACAGTGTTATGGCGGGAGTTTTGAACCTGAGGTCACGTGACCTACATCCCCTCTCTACAGAGTGTACCGTGTGAGCTGCGCACTACAAGCTATCTCTCTCTTTATTATGTGTACTGTCCTGGGCCCTTTTAGTCAATATATTATCCATCCTTTAAGGTAACTTTTAGGACCTTTAAATTTATATGTCGTTCTTTCAAGTTCACTTTACCCTGATTTTAGTTTAGTTGACTCGAAATTTTCAGTTGTTTCCTACAAATGGCAAGAGCTCTTTTTATAGCTTCATTTTATCTTAAAAATGGAATTCTTCTTTAGTCAGAGGTTTAATTTTGTGAATAGGTTAATTTTGTAACTCATAGATTTTAGGTTGATAATAGCTTGCTATTTTGCAATAGCAAAAAGTGACTACTACTGCTATAATCCAAGACAAAAGCAGATATATATAGTTGCTTGCCCACGTCACGAATAACCAAATAAGGTATAATTGGCCGTTTAATGGGAGCAAACCTCTCTACCTCGCTCCTCAAACCGTTATTGCTTTGAACCGTTTATTGCTTCTGAGAGGCACCATTTTTAGTAAAACAGTAAGCTTTAACTTTCTTATTCCTTTTCAAATGATCTGTCTAAAAGAGAGGCTGTTCTACAAGACCCTCTTAGTCAGGAATATTTTGTTCGTACGTGAACTGCGTCCTGCCACGGTATGCCACCGACTTTTTATCATGTTTCAGAGCTACAGAGATCGATAAAAGTTCCAAGTTTTAATTCTGTCCGTATACTGCAGATTTCAGAGTACCGCCAGTCTTGATGAAACACTTGTCAGTGATTGGTAGATAACTTTGCAGGTTTACACGTACATTGAGTGTACAGCTGTAAAACTGTGTCTGCAGACTCTGCTATGTCTACTGTGTGTTTAGTCTGCCTCAGGGTCGTTTACATTCTCCTTTTAGAATTTGTCTTCTGGCAATATTACGTTTTGGGCATTTTTAATAAATACTTCTTGGGGTGACTGGATCATGTTTAGATAACATTAACATCTGCTGAAAAGGAGTTTATTGAAAGAGGAGCTGGATATTGATTGGCCAACTGTTGGCAGTGTTGGTCACGTGATGTTTAAAAGTAGCAGCTGTCATCTGCCTCCGCAAACATCTCGCAAACACTCTCCCACTATCTCAGCTGGGTTCATATAGCCTACCACTTCATATTATATGTATAAGTATTTGCAATTTAAAGCGGGGGAAGCCTAATAATTACTTAGAACGGTGGTGTCGGATGATTCTAATTAGTAACAGATATTAGCTGGTGTACTGTGTCTAGTGTCTACAGTCCCCCACATACCTGCACAGTGCACTCTACAGGGTTGTGAGGGGGAGCTGGGTTCGTGTGTCTTTAATTCTTTAATTGGGAGGAGGGTTTAAAGGGTACAGCTCTCAGTTGTTGTGTAGTTCGTACTGGCGGTGCTGATCTGCAATATCTGCAATATATTGTGTTGCTCAGTTGTTGTGTAGTTCGTACTGGCGGTGCTGATCTGCCATATATTGTGTTGCTATGTTTATAATGCTGAATTCAAGCATTATCATTGTTTTAGATTCCTTATGTTCTACCTTCTAATATTTTCTAAAATAGGTATTGGATGAATTCATAACTTAGAATCCTTTACGATACTAATGATTCCCCTTCAGAAAATTTGTTTCTGGTTATTTTCCTTTTAAAATATTTTTCACGCCGCCTTCTTGACTACGGTAAACCAACTTATGCCTGATGGTCCTTCATAAATCGGTCTACTAACTCATTAACGGACGTAATTGCCTAAAATTCCCTTGATTCTCCAATATGGCATTATTGCACTTCGCACGATGTAATCTTCATGCTTTGTTACCATGTTACTTTTATATCAGATATAAATAGTCCAACTTCAATGCACTTTGCAATCTTTTAACTTGGTCCATTAGCAGACAGGAAAACGGGCAACAGCCAGTAGGGAGCCAGTAGGGAGCCTATCACAGGATCACGTGATGGTGTCCCACCAATCACCTCTCATTTCCCGTCTCGCGTGATCATCTGTAAATACAGGCAGTAAATCCACCAAATAATGATGCTAAGTTAGATTTACTTTCTTGCCCGCCCTTATTTAGTAAAAACATGTGACTAGGCGAGCCCATTTTTAGCCATACCACGTGACATGTCCCTTATAAGGAAATCACGTGACAAGCTGCAACTTCTTACTGTTCGTGTTTTACCGGAATTGCTTTATTTTCAGTGCTAGGAGGATTGTTCTTCTTGATACTGTCTAACATTTGTTATTTAACGGTTGCAGACTACTTTTGATATTATTACTGAAAGGGTTGACTCTAGCACATAATAGGCGACGTGAGGGAAGCAAAATGTTGTTTATATCGGGGCATTTCATTTTCAGGTTGTTTAATTCAGCGTAGTGCTATAATACTACTACCAACGCTTAGTCGTGCGATTACCGTATTCTGGTCCGTACATCTAATAAACTGGTTTCGGTTTGTTTTACTTTGTTCTAGTAATAGTAACTTGTGATATCACGTGACGTCATCACAATATCACGTGACGTCATCATGATAACATATTGACCCAGTATCGGCATGTTAACACATAGCTATTGATTATAGCAGGGCTTGTATAGCGCAAGAGGAGGTGGTTTGTATGCAGCAGAACAATAATAACCTCACCAGGGCTTGTATAGCGCAAGAGGAGGTGGTTTGTATGCAGCAGAACAATAATAACCTCACCAGGGCTTGTATAGCGCAAGAGGAGGTGGTTTGTATGCAGCAGAACAATAATAACCTCACCAGGGCTTGTATAGCGCAAGAGGAGGTGGTTTGTATGCAGCAGAACAATAATAACCTCACCAGGGCTTGTATAGCGCAAGAGGAGGTGGTTTGTATGCAGCAGAACAATAATAACCTCACCAGGGCTTGTATAGCGCAAGAGGAGGTGGTTTGTATGCAGCAGAACAATAATAACCTCACCAGGGCTTGTATAGCGCAAGAGGAGGTGGTTTGTATGCAGCAGAACAATAATAACCTCACCAGGGCTTGTATAGCGCAAGAGGAGGTGGTTTGTATGCAGCAGAACAATAATAACCTCATCAGGGCTTGTATAGCGCAAGAGGAGGTGGTTTGTATGCAGCAGAACAATAATAACCTCACCAGGGCTTGTATAGCGCAAGAGGAGGTGGTTTGTATGCAGCAGAACAATAATAACCTCACCAGGGCTTGTATAGCGCAAGAGGAGGTGGTTTGTTTGCAGCAGAACAATAATAACCTCATCGGAATGTAGGCCGTTATTACGAGTTACTCATTATATTTAAAACTTACTGTTTACGATATAATGGCACCAGTTTTTATCACTGTCTTCTGTATATATTTCCTCATCGTTAGCCGCCCTTATCATTGTCCACTTTTACTGCTCCACTTTAAGCTTATCCACTGATTTTAAGTATAGGCCGTTTCTTTGAACACATGATAAAAAACGATTTGTCATTCCTAACCTGCTCTTCAAATAAATCTATAGAATTTTATTAATTTATCAAGTTAATGACGAAACTTCGTGATTGCTCAAAGGAGCACTATATAATTCGTGAACGGTAATATTAATGTATAGTTATTAGTTACAGTACTCACTAATAGTTATTATTAGTTACAGTACACACTAATAGTTATTATTAGTTACAGTACCCACTAATAGTTATTATTAGTTACAGTACTCACTAATAGTTATTATTAGTTACAGTACCCACTAATAGTTATTATTAGTTACAGTACCCACTAATAGTTATTATTAGTTACAGTACCCACTAATAGTTATTATTAGTTACAGTACTCACTAATAGTTATTATTAGTTACAGTACTCACTAATAGTTATTATTAGTTACAGTACCCACTAATAGTTATTATTAGTTACAGTACTCACTAATAGTTATTATTAGTTACACTAATAGTTATTATTAGTTAAAGTGACCACTCGTTAGTTTTACTTAGTCTTTAGTTTTCAGTACTTATTGTGCTCACTGATAAATTCTATCGTGCGCGTGGTGCAGTGTTAGTACATATTGTTTTTATTAACGAATTGACTGTGCATGTGATCGTTCACTCTCTTTTTACATTCATATCCTCGGATGATTTTGCCTTTAATTTCTGTTCATTTTTTTTCGTTGGCTTTAATACTAACTACATGCTAACTAACAGTAACCTACATTAATTATAATTATGCTATAAATATCATTAACTATTCTTTAATATCATTAACTATTCTTTAATATCATTAACTATTCTTACTTTAAAGGTTACTTTATTCAACTCTGAAATAATTGTAATATTAACTGTAACTCTAATTGTAGGGTCGCTCCAGTAAATTAGAAATCACAATGGTTGACACAGAAACAACACCAGTTCCAGAAGTTGCTGAAACTACCAAAGCCCAGGTAAACCATACTTTTCTTTCTTGCAATATTTCTGCTATATTTGACAGATCTTTGAATCCTGTTAAAGGAAACAACTTAACTAACTGCCCAACCTCCCCAGGTTGAAGAACCAGTTGCTGAACCTGTAGTTAATGGGGATCACGTTGAATCAGAAGAGGAGAAGTTATCTGAATCTGAAGAGAAAGATAGTGCTGTGAAGGAGAGCGTGCCCGTTGAAGAAGCAGCCCCCGCAGAAGAAGCCGCTCCAGTAGAAGAAGCCGCTCCAGTAGAAGAAGCCGCTCCAGTAGAAGAAGCCGCTCCAGTAGAAGAAGCGGCACCTGTAGAAGAAGCCGCTCCAGTAGAAGAAGCAGCTCCAGTAGAAGAAGTAGCACCTGTAGAAGAAGCCGCTCCAGTAGAAGAAGCAACTCCCGCTGTTGTGGAAGAAACGCCATCACCAGTGGAAGAGCCTGAAATTGCAGTAAGTAAAAAGTTTAGAGTTTGAACTTATGTGATGTTTTGTGTCGTGTAACGTGTTTGTGTGCAACTGTGCGCTTAAAGCAGCGCTGACCTTGGTGAACGCTTTCTGTAGTGCAGTGAATATTATAATTGTCACCTGCCTACCTAATTGCATTGGGAATCAGTCCCCCCTTTAACCATTATGTCACTTCATTGCATCCCTAAAGTAGCTATCACCTACTGAGTACTGAGTGATCTTTCTCTCACATCTGTCAAAACACAACCCGCTCAAAACACAACCCCCTCAAAACATAAACTGGCTCCCCTCATGAGTTTGAAAGTCTTTTTCACAGTCTAAAGAAGAAGATCCAGTTCCTGAAGAACCGGCATCCGCAGAAGAACCTGTAGTAGAAGAACCTGCAGTAGAAGAACCTGTAGTTGACGAACCCGCAGTCACTAAAGAACCTGCAGCCATTGTAGAACCTGCAGCCGTCGAGGAACCTGCAGCTGTTGAAGAAACTGCAGCTGTTGAAGAACCTGCAGCTGTTGAGGAACCTGCAGCCGTCGAGGCACCTGCAGCTGTCGAGGAACCCGCAGCCGTCGAAGAACCAGCAGCCGTTGAGAAACCTGCAGCTGTCGAGGAACCTGCAGCTGTTGAGGCACCTGCAGCCGTCGAGGAACCTGCAGCTGTTGAAGAACCTGCAGCCGTCGAAGAACCAGCAGCTGTTGAAGAACCTGCAGCTGTTGAAGAACCTGCAGCTGTTGAAGAACCGGCAGCTGTTGAAGAACCTGCAGCTGTTGAAGAACCGGCAGCCGTTGAAGAACCGGCAGCCGTTGTAGAACCTGCAACTGTTGAGGAACCTGCAGCTGTTGAGGAACCTGCAGCCGTCGAGGAACCAGCAGCCGTTGAGGAACCTGCAGCTGTCGAGGAACCCGCAGCCGTTGAGGAACCAGCAGCCGTCGAAGAACCTGCAGCTGTTGAAAAACCGGCAGCCGTTGAAGAACCTGCAGCTGTTGAGGAACCTGCAGCCGTTGAAGAACCTGCAGCCGTTGAAGAACCTGCAGCCGTTGAAGAACCTGCAGCCGTTGAAGAACCTGCAGCCGTTGAAGAACCTGCAGCCGTTGAAGAACCTGCAGCCGTCGAGGAACCCGCAGCTGTCGAGGAAGATGCAGCTGTCCAAGAACCTGCAGCCGTTGAAGAACCGGTAGATGCCTCCGTAGCAGCAGAAGTGGCTGCAGCTGCCGCCATAGTCGAGGAGGCGTTCAACAAGGAGGAGTCTCTGGAAGCCCCGGTAAGATTTCCGGGGAGCTGTTGAACCTTATGTAGCATTGCTATAATTTGAACCTTATGTAGCATTGCTATAATTTGAACCTTATGTAGCATTGCTATAATTTGAACCTGTCGATCGGGCTAAAAAAATAAACTTAAGTTATTGGCCACATTCAGTCGTCTACATTTTTCACAAAATTCTTATTATTGTCAGTTTTTCATGTTCAGCTCAATCTTTTAAACCTTTCCTGCATGTTCCAAGCTGCACGTTCTTCCCATTTCTCTCTCAATTTCAGTCAGCACTGCTTTTGTTTTACACCAGCTCCATTTGGAACTAATTCAGATTGTTAGATTGGGTTAATTTTTGTTTAAATACGTTAGGCTGTGTTGAGTGTCTGATTTTGCATGTCTTTGCTTTAAAACTTTACCCTAGGCAATATGCTTATGGAACATGTTATTTTGTTCAATTTAAGTTCTTATAAAAGAGATTATTGTTATTTTGAATGATAGCAGCATGATCTCATGATTTAACCATAAGTTCTACTGTCGCACAATATTATAATTTTAGTACTGTCAATATAAAATATTACGATTAATTTAAACTGTCGTCCGCCAGGCAGAAGAAGCTGCACCTGATGCTGCACCCTGCTGCTGAAGAGGCACCTGCTGAGGTAGCTGCCGAGGAAGAAACACCCAAAGAAGAAGAAAAGAAGCCAGAGTGTGAAACTCCTTCAAAAAAGAAGGGTCTTATGTCCAAGTAAGAACTCTCCTTTCACTCAAGATTGTGGATTGTGGAATCGTTGCCATTTTCAATTATCGTCTCGGAAATTTCAGGCCATTCATTTGAGATGTGCAAACGGCGATCATTCATGAGATTCGTGTCACTTTCTTATGTTTAAAGAATTAAACACTATTTACATTAATTTCAAATTAGTTCTGTAATCCAGAGAAGTAACAATCCCTTGCTACTGCAAGGAAGAGAGTTTTAATTCTCACAACTTTTTACAAATGCATCCTGTGTAGGCTGGGTCTGAAGTTCCCGAAGAAGAGAAGAAGGAAGTAGCTGCGGAGGAAGAGAAACCAGCCGAAGAGGAGGCAGCCGTTGAGGAGGAGGCTGAACCTGCTGCCGAACCTGCTGCTGAAGAGGTAGCTTTTAATTCTTAACAATTGTAGGGGGTTTTTAGAGTTGAACATATTAAGTCAGCAAGACAAAATGTTGGTTAATGTATCGTTCAGAAGTCCCCACGCAATGTCAGATTTTGCTTATTTTTGTTGCTATTTTGGACGTTTTGTGCAGCGAAAAATTCAGGAGATTAATTATAAGACAGTTTTAACTGCAGTTAAACTGTGCCACCTCCTTCTTTTACATTTTTCTGTTCGTGTATATCAAACAACGAGCAGTTTCACATTTTCCGTGCGACTGTCATTGGTTAATAAATTGAGCCATCTTCCGTAATTGGGTTAATAAAATTCTTAAACCGACGAAGGCTCGGCTAAGTTTAGGATAATTTCAAGATGATGGAAGTTTATTTTTGGTAAATTGCGCAAGTTGTTCGGACTAATTCTATTTCCGAGGGGTACATGGGATGCCGTTAAATTTGGAATTAAAATTACGTAAATAAATAAATCCTGGCTCACTTTTTAAACTTATTGTGACAAATTCTTGTGATCAACCGAGCATTCATTAAGTTTATTTCGCTGTTTCTTCGGTGAAAAATTTCTCTTTGAAAGATATAAGTAACTCTCTAAAGAAGCATTAGTAGTGATCATTCACCCGCGCATGTATGATATTATATTTAGAAAATATTGCTACATAACATGACCAGGCCAAGCAAATCTCTAAAGCTGGTCGCTGAGCCTCATTATTCCATATATGGCAATGTACTGAGACTAATTAGTGAGATTGCAGATTGAGTAAGGTGAGGGTGTAGGTAGCATTTGTACTGTGTGTTCTATCACGTGATAAGACGGGTTATGACGTCATGTCACGTGATGTGACGTCATCAACGTGGTGGTCGGCTAGTTTTTATAAACATTTAATCTTCTCTGGCTAGAAAGATTGGGAGAGATTTAGAAATTTCTAATATCGTGGATATAGGTTATGTCAGCATAAGTGTTAAAATATCGGTACATCTACGATTCGTTGGTTTTGGGGCGTTATCAGCGATTACGTAATTGTTTATACGAAAGAACAGGGCATCTAGTACCATTACGGACCATAAATAACGTATCATAGTGACAAAGAGCTGTGTATTGGAACAAGATGCATGATCCCCGGTCCTTTATCTATAATATTGAATAGATGGGTAATTTGTCCGCTAAGTGTCGTGTCTGATAATACTCCTTCATAATACTCCTCATTGGTCATGTCTAACATTATGAGAAGCACCTGGTCTGCAGCTGAATAAAGTAGGAGCTATTATAAAGGAGTATTATAAAGACCTCTCATGTAACCTTCTCGTACTACGTTTCTTGTGGAAGATGGGTTAGACGCGCACTCTGAACCAGATTCTGTTGTAGAACAACTTTAAACCCAGAAATGTATAAATACATATGAGTCACGTGTCAGCAAATATTAATTGCAGTCTTCATTTGCCTCAACATTCTACCACGACCCGGCTACATGCTACATAGAGGCCAGGGGGGGGGGGGGCAATACACACGCGTATTGTATTTGTATCATTGTAACATTAAGTGTCATGATATTAATAGCCTCTATGTTCTTCTTTTGTACAATCTTCAACCGGAAGACTTTCGGCGGGAGCTTTGAGCGGGGAATTCTATGAAGGAAATGACAAGAAACTATTATACTTAAAATTTACATAATTTACACATTTTGTAGATATTAATAATATTATTGCTAACGTGTGTTCCCCAGACACCTGCTCCTGCAGCTGAAGAAGAAGTGGTAGAGACTCCAGCTGAAGAGACAACTGAAGAACAACCTGAGAAGAAGAAGAAGACTAACATAATTAAGAGATTGTCACAACGCGGACTCAAGAAGCTGAGGAAGGTGAGATAAGGATTAATTATTTAGTCTGTAGTGTCCCCCCCCCCCCCCCCCTCCCCCCCCCCCCCCCCTCCAGCTCCCCCCCCCCCCCCCTGTAGGGACAGTTTTGTAAATCTGGAGCAATTACAGATCTAAAACTGCCTGTTTTATATGGTAGCAATGTGATACTCGCAATATTATATTTACTGTCCAGTAAATTAAACTAAACACGTTTTTTTGGTTAAAAAGCACGTTTCGTTAGTGAAAATGTCTTTAATTATCAGTAAACACTGCAAATGTTAGTGGAGAAGCCCTTGAACCCACCTTCTCACATGAATTTTATTAAATACTTCGCATATTTCTGTGTCATTATAAGAACCTCTGATTCCTTCATTTAACCACGTGACACTACACGTGACATTACGAGTTTGGTTTGATGACGTCACATTATCAGTTTGGTTTGATGACGTCACCTAGCATCAAATATTGTGACGACAGTTTCAATCCGGATATCCCCACTCTAATACCAGGTCAATTAGGTGGCCCAGCTATATCTACATTTAGATTTGACACTGTTCCCCGTCCTGTGAAATTACCTCGAGGTGTAGCTGTCAGGTTTAACTTCACGTGACCACGTTTTAACCAACCGGAATTCAGCTTTACAGCACGTGATCTCGTCTTGACCAATAGCAGATCACAGTTATCAGGGTAATTTCCCGACAACTGTCATTTTAGTGTGGTGTTATGTTAATACCCCCCTCCTACTTGGCAATCTCCCTGGTCAGAAGAATCCTTCTCGGTGAGAGGGACCCAGTTTTTAAAGGGAATTAGAGTTTATATCAGTAACCAGGATTTTATCCTGGTAGAAAGGTTATAGGATAAGTCCAGGAGCTATACAGTGTACCCAGTATACAATATACAGTGTACCCAGTATACAATATACAGTGTACCCAGTATGCAATATACAGTGTACCCAGTATACAATATACAGTGTACCCAGTATACAATATACAGTGTACCCAGTATACAATATACAGTGTACCCAGTATACAATATACAGTGTACCCAGTATACAATATACAGTGTACCCAGTATACAGTATACAGTGTACCCAGTATACAATATACAGTGTACCCAGTATACAATATACAGTGTACCCAGTATACAATATACAGTGTACCCAGTATACAATATACAGTGTACCCAGTATACAATATACGGTGTACCCAGTATACAGTATACAGTGTACAATATACATGTATACAGTATACAATACAATATACATGGCGTTAATTCATTAGTCGTCGTATAGTACCATGAGAGATACTATTTTTGAGAAACAGTATTTGCAGGCATGGTACGTGAGATATGGTACCTTAGAAATCAGCATTTACAATTTACAGGTACTTTACAGGCACTGGGCATAATTCTCTTTACACCAGAAATCCCTCTATCCCAAATACTCCCAACACGTGATACTTACTAAATACACGTGTCACGTGCCTGACACTGGCTAAGCAGCTCTGTTCAGTGAGCGGTGTTTTAGGAGGGCAGTGTTATACAGTGTTGGGATACTAATCCTGCCTCCTAGTGTTGGGATACTAATCCTGCCTCCCACAGTTAAACACTGCTACTGAATATTCAACGTCTCCCCTGCTCTGAAACTTACTGTCTCCTTTCAACTACACTTGTAATATAAAGGGGGGGGGGGGGGGGGGGGGGGGGGGGCAGGTTTTGTTACTAAGGTCCCCCCCACATAAACAAACCACTATATAGTTGTATAATGACTGTGAGTAGTGGTGCCTAGTCGCCGGTCTGGGACCGTGCCAAATAGTAGTGAGACGGTACTGTGATACTGTCCGAATACCTCCTATAATACACATCTAATTAGTACATGTTACTAATTACATGTTACTTATGATTACCCTGAAATAGACAAGGACTATCGATTAGAGTCTACACAGGTTTGTAACCATTATCACATACCACCACTACAACACCACTGTTAGTAGCCTGTAGCATCTATACTAATAATCTCAAGATGTGTTTCGTTTGTTCGCTCGCGTGTAATTTCCTAACGGCTTATTCAAGAAAACGGTAAGAGTTACGGGGCTGGTTCTTGACGAAGCCAAATGATAAAAGTTTTAAAAATCGGTCGATGGTAAATGTAATACTGAAGTGTGTGTGTACTCTCCCACTTTCGCTCCCCTTCTCTCTCTCTCTCTCTCTCTCTCTCTCTCTCTCTCTCTCTCTCTCTCTCTCTCTCTCTCTCTCTCTCTCTCTCTCTCCCCCCCCCCCCGCAATAGATTTGCTGTATAATTAGGTAATTTGGCGGGGGACCTCAAGATTGCCTATCAAGTATTACTATTAGATGAATGAGCTAATATCACACCTATTTCACCGCTAATATCACACCTCATAACTATATCTCCACCAGTACCATAATATATTGTTTCAGCCCAAGTCCAGCGAAGAAGCAGTCGGTGATGAAGTAAAGGTCGTGGAGCCAACAGCAGATGAAGCAGCCCCAGCGGAAGAATCAGCCCCCGCAGAAGAAGCAACCCCCGCAGAAGAAGCAGCCCCCGTAGCAGAAGAAGCAGCTCCCGCTGAAGAGGAACCCGCTGAAGAGGTAAGAAACAGGCATTATCAATAAAAATAAAAATGAAGAAATTTCACTTTGCTAAGTTTAAAAAGAGAAGGGTCTGATCTAGAAGTGGGTAAATAGTTCTAAGTTTATCGGTTTATTTGGGTTTTTAATTCTTCTCGGCCTCCCGACGAATAATGCTCTGTATGTGGTAAATAAGGTGGTTACCCCTGGTTACCCCTGGTTACCCCTAGCCTGGTTACCCCTGGTTACCCCTGGTTACCCCTGGTTACCCCTAGCCTGGTTACCCCTGGTTACCCCTGGTTACCCCCAATACGCTGTCGTGAATTGTGCAGCATTTAAAACTCCTTGTCTAGTGGTTGTGATTTAGCTGTATCTATTATATACAGCTGATATGCTTCTCGTGTTGTATAGCATATTACCCTCCTGTCTCCTTGTGCTGACTTTAGTAAAGGAGACTGTCTCCTTGTGCTGACTTTAGTGAAGGAGACTCAGAGACTGTCTCCTTGTGCCGACTTTAGTAAAGGAGACTGTCTCCTTGTGCTGACTTTAGTAAAGGAGACTGTCTCCTTGTGCCGACTTTAGTAAAGGAGACTGTCTCCTTGTGCTGACTTGAGTAAAGGAGACTGTCTCCTTGTGCCGACTTTAGTAAAGAAGACTGTCTCCTTGTGCTGACTTGAGTAAAGGAGACTGTCTCCTTGTGCTGACTTGAGTAAAGGAGACTGTCTCCTTGTGCCGACTTTAGTAAAGGAGACTGTCTCCTTGTGCCGACTTTAGTAAAGGAGACTGTCTCCTTGTGCTGACTTGAGTAAAGGAGACTGTCTCCTTGTGCCGACTTTAGTAAAGAAGACTGTCTCCTTGTGCTGACTTTAGTAAAGGAGACTGTCTCCTTGTGCTGACTTTAGTAAAGGAGACTGTCTCCTTGAATTCAGGAGACACATCACCTCCATTCCATCTTGCCGTCATTGGAAAAGTAAAGACTTGACATAACTTTATCACCAAACTGCCTAAAGTAGTCCAGTATTTGAAGTTACTGTTAGTAACTCCCTGTCTGTAACTCCGTAAAGGCGCGGCGGAACGTGTCAATATGTGACTACTGGTACCTGGCTGTTATTTGAAATGTGATCATGTAAACTTTGGCTCTTGTCATGGTTTTAACATGGACAATACTGACTTTCTATTGGCTGGTTCCATTTTACCCAGTATACGGTTACTGGAATGTGTTTAGGAGTGGTGTTTGGGAGGTTGAACTTCCAGTGACCAGACAAGTGTGGGAGTGATTAATTATCCCTGATAATAGGGTGGCAGTTCACCCCCTTTTAATTATGGTATTAAGATGCTGCTGAGTAAATACCAGGCCCGCATATTGAGCCAGTAGTTTCTGAAGTGGAACACAGGTTGACATTCATTGACCGGTGTTATCAGAGATACGCATCCCACCAATCACAAGGGAGTATTTGTATCACGTGTTATCTTACTAATACAACCCTGGTTAAATTCCTGGTGTCATTCACTCGTCTAATTAATGAGGTCTCGTATTTCAATATCTCTAGACAAGTCTCTGTTTCCAGTTCAAAATTGACTAATTAAGACAATCGCTGCTTTCAACAAACAACAACCAATGGTGGTGTTACCTGGCCTCTCTGTTGACCAATCAGCAATCAGCATCCCTTATACCACTCATACGTTTTCTGTAGAGTGAAATTGTGTTGCTTTGAGTGGTCGATAGAGTTAAAAACAGTCTAATTTCAATAAACAAAATTATAACAAGATTTAATTTACGATATTTCTATAACTATGAATTGGACATAGGTACCAATATATTAACACTTATCGTTTTGATATTCCCGCGATCAAACGACAAACAGCATGATGGAATTGATTGAATGACTGATTATTTCACGTTTGATTCTTGCTTGACTTGATTTTAGCTGATTGATTTGATTTTACCATTTTATAATGTTTACTCATCAGTAGATATGTATTCCAATAATTTGTAGGTTTCTGTGGAGAAGGCCGACAAACGTCGGCTAAGTTTTGGGGCGCAAATTCGAAATCGTCTGTCGTTCGGAAAGGGTGATAGGAAAAAGAAGGTAAACTACGCGGCCGCTGCATATGACCACGCGGTGTGACGTCACGTGACAGTGTGGCGTGACGTCATTTCACGTGGTATGACGTCACTATGCTCTAGCTGCATTATACTTGCTCATCACGACAGTACTCAGTACAGCCGTACAATAATTCAATATGATTAGCTGCAACAATACAACTATGCGCTTAGTTAATAAAGACACCGTGATGTGGTAGTCTTTCACATGAAGAGCTTTTGAACAAAGTGTCCTTTCATTACACTATTAAGGCCCAGAAACTGAAGATCCTGCAATTCATGCTTACTCTCAATTTGAAACTGCAATATTCGCACAATTGAAATTTTGAGGAACCTATAAATAAGTTTCGACCATTTACCAAGTTTCGTGTTAAATATTATTAACTGCACGGATTGGAATGAAAAGCATGTGTTAGGGCTTTTTACTTAAATAATAATATCACAGGTTCATTATTAGACTTGTTCCTAACCATCTTCGCTATTCTAGATTTTGCTTTTTTAATATTAAAATTTGCCATCAACATGCCAGTTCTTTGCTGAATCCTTTATTTTTCTTCTTATATTTTTGTTATAATTTTAACATGTGACACTTGCACCGTACACACGAACTTGTAACCAAGTTGCGACCACCTTGAATGGTTTCCAGGTTCGTCACAAGTTGTGGCTGAGTAAATATGCTAGAATCTTCTTTTAACTAAGTTATTTAGTTGCAGTTTGACAACGTGACCAGGGCGATATATCACAAATCTACAACAAGTATCCAGACGAAGTATTATCATGTTCATACATTAACCCCTATATAGTCATATAAATGAAGTGAAAGTGTTGTCCAAATAGTTTAGCAACAGTAGTATTTATGAAGGAGCAATATAAAGTAGAAGAATCCTATTAAAGCCAGGTAGCCTCTTAAGTTGTGCAGTAAGAAGAATCTTACCTCTACACTCTACAGTGGTACAGTGTGCATTTAACGGCAATGTGTTTAACTGCAGCTATTATTGGATCTTTTAACCATCTCCTAATATTTGAATGATCTAAGAACTTAGCACATTCTCGCGTAGAAAGGAGGTTTAATATTTCCAATTATGGTAGTAGTCGGAGAACATGTTAGCTAGGGTCTAATATACTATATAATATTGCTGTGCCTTACTGACTCTAGAGGTTAAGCGCAAAAACACCACCGCCATATTACTGAATCTAGTTGCTATAGTTTAGTAAAAGTGCAACGCTGGTATGTGATTATCACTATCTGCGAGGTATGTGTTTTTGTCAGGTAACTCATTACATTTAACTTACTTATTATCCTATCGGAACAATTTGTTTAATCATAGCCAATCACAGCACAGCTCTTCAACCAAATTGTACAATAAAAAGACAGCATTGTATGCACGTGATTGATAAGCACCTGTTGCCATGGCAACGAACTTTCAAACGTCTTACTACAGATCCGCTCACTAAATATTGGCAATAATTCAAGTGTAAGTCCTGTGAGCTATTATGACATAATATAATATCATTCGGCAACTTACTAAGTGTATGCTAGCATATGACCTGTTGGCAGAACTTAAAGTTTCATGTTGAAGGTCTTATGAATTGTCAACTTAGCTGGACCCTGCTTATAGGCTCCAGTAAGGTTGTACTGGCACTAAATCTCGCATCAGTGATCGAGCGAGTTAGTCACCCTGCATGTTACCTGCATGTATTCAGCATGTTTACACTCCTTTAACCTGCATGTTTTAATTATTACAGGGAAACTACATGTCATGTCGCCACTCCCCGTTTAATTAAAGCGTCCTCCAATGTTACCCCTCTCTTGTTTCCTCTTAGTAATTAACCCACCGGAACTAACCCATGAGAAGTTCTAGTGGCATGTTTGTTATGACACGTGACAGTCCGGAACCAACCAGCTGCTTCTACCGCTTTATTGTCACATAAATGTCTTTCCCATATGCAGCACACACAAAAGATTTTCTAAGTCGTAAAATAACGAATATAATCTCAGAGACCAGCAGTTGCCGAAGAGCCAGCAGCAGAGACTCCAGCAGAAGAAGAAGCTCCTGAGACTCCTGAAACTGAGGAGGAGATCAAGGAGAAGGTTTGTTAAATGAAATGCTCGTTATGTAGTGATATAGCCTTGTTATGCAGACAGCTGCTAACACAGCAGTGGCTAATTGAAACAGTCTAATTAGTTCTTGTCGTCTTGAACGAAGATGATAAAGAGGTTAACTTGTCCTATCAATGGAGACTACAGACCATACCGGTACCAGCCCGCGCAAAGCTCTTATCATTATAGAAACCCAAAGTTTACCGCGCGTTTTATACGCGCGGCTTAATTCTTAATCGATTCGATTCACTTCTGAAAGGACAATTTTGGTGTGAAATGCCCTGCATCGACATCTCGTGTGTTAGCTTCCATCTACGCTATTAAAAGAGGTATATTTTCCCATATCAATAGCAAAGACTTTCAATTTCCAGGCAGAAGACGAATCCGCCGAAAAAGAAGACACAGAAGAGAAGCCCAAGGCCAGGAAGAGTTTCCTCTCTATCTTCAAGAAGAAGCCTAAAACCGAGGACGCAGCCGCACCCGAGGTGATGATCATATTCAAATCAATCATACAGATTGTATTTGGAAATATTAAATACTATTTTGATGTGCTCCTATCAAACCTCCATATCTCTTCATTCTTTGACTATTGATCAGTAAGGAGTAATACCTGACTATATATTTTATCCAGGTAGCAGAAGAGGAGGCCCCCGCGGACCCTGCTGAAGAAGCCCCTCCAGTTATAGAAGAACCAGAAGCTGCAGCCCCTGAAGAAACACCTGCCGAAGATGCCCCAGCTGAAGAGACGCCTGCTGAAGACACACCTGCTGAAGAGGAAAAGACTGAGGTTAACGAAGACAAACCTAAGAAAGGTAAGGTTGCTAGTGGCGCAGGTGCGAGGTTTATTTTTATATTACCCGAACTGTGAATGATGTATGGTTAATACTATGCAGGACTCTGATTTTCTGGACAAGTGACCTTTATTAGATGTAACTATTGTTTCAGAAAACTTCATGAGCAGAATGAAGAACAGCTTTAAGAACACGAAGAGACCAAAGGTAGAGAAAAGGAATAACGATAACGAGGAGCCAGCAGCTGAAGAAATCGCCCCCACTGAAGAGGTCTATATTTTACTCCTTTCAATCACTTGTTCGCGCGTACTGTTAACTATGTTGCTGACTGTTATTTACTTTAAAATCATGATAAAGCAGCCGGTGGCAGCAGACTATTGCTGTTATTGTTTCAATCTGTGCTTTTATAAATGTTTTTCTTTCAGGAAACGCCGGTAGAGAAAACAGATAACGAAATAACAGATAACAAAGAGGCAGAGGAAACGAAAAAGGAAGAAAAGGAGAAGAAGAAACGATCGAACATCTTTAAGAAACCCAAGAAAGAGAAGAAAGAAGAGGATGTAGTGGAAGATAACAAGGTATTAGTCGCAGAATTTAGATCGATATTATCTCTGATTACTTCTACTGTTTGATATAATATCTCAATGTTCAGATCTAATTTAATCTATTGGTTGTTGTTGTTGTTGTACTTTATGGAAGACAGCAGCATGGTTTATTTAACGTTAACTAGGGAATCTTCCCTTCTGAAAATTCAAATAAATGTTGAGATCCTTACCCGTAAACCCCGGCCTTAATCAGTACCAGCCTGGTTCAGCTTATCCCGGCTAAATCTAAAGTTTTTTGAAGTCAATCCCTTCCAAAACAAATAGTTTCGCTCTATCAATCAAAATTCTGAAATCAGTTTGAGCTCCTTGTTGCAGTGACTATTACTTGTGATCTTGTCTGGTCATGCTGCTGTCCCCATAAGGTACTTCATGCATTGCACTGGTTGTTATGATTGTTATGTTGACTGTCCAGCTAGCCCCCCGCTTTGTTGCATACTTACATACCTTACATACCGCACATACCGTCAAATATTTGTAATCTTTGTGAACAATTATGATCAGCTTGACTGCGAAATTCTGTGTTCTTGCTGATTTCTCCTTTTAATAACACGATGTTGCTCTTCAAAATATATTTACGTCTGCATATTTCACGGCCCTATCCAAACACAATTCCCGAATTTGTTGATCACGTGATAAATTTTGTACTGAACCTGCTGCTGGCTAGTTCCACTTTCTCGCTATTCGTTAGCTTTACATTCAGACGATCGAAGAAGCAGCAAAAGATGACACGAACGAGAACAAGAAGAGGAGCAAGCTGAACCTCTTCTCCAAGAAGAAAGAAAGTACGGATGAGAAGTGTGACAAAGAAAAAGCAACACCCGTCCACACGTCGGACGAAGAAACCCACAACGTTGACAATGTAATTTTCTCCAGTCCTCTATAAAACGTTCTCACGAGTTATCAGTTCGCACTGTTTTATATCATTATCCCCAGACTTTAGTTGGAGTTGCTCAATGCTTATTCCCGAACTGCGTTAAGCTGCACATGTTTTGCCCCATAAGCTAGCCTTACGAAGCGTGCAGCGCTGCCCCCCCCCCCCCCCCTTAAGCCCCCCCCCCCCCCCCCCCCCCCTTTAGCAGCACTGAATGTTCCCCTGATGAAGCCTCTATCACTATGTTGCTATAAAGCTTGCATGTTCAACATTACTTGTCTATTCCCCTGACATTTCATTCAGGTCATATTATTGCACATGTTGACTACTGCATGGATTTAGCACAATTTAACGAGTTTTAAAACAAATTCGTGATGTTATTTACGCTTATTGTGCTTTTTCATTTACGCATTCTCAAAGCAATATCAGCAGAAATGGTCGTTCGCACGGGCAGGGCTAAGGAAAATATTGAAATAACTATTGATGATCAAAGTAAAATTGTGGGATATTGTTTGGGAGACTGGGGATTAAATCGACCATTTCTACTCTAACCACTTCACAGTCACTTCCCATCACAATGCACTCTTAGTATTTATACTGTTTTCTTAGGGCACGCCTGGAGTGGAGGTCGGCGCCTGAGCATCATGAGCCCATTACATGTAAGTGTAAACCAGTGGTATTACCACATACTCCGCATACTATCAAGGAACTTAGGAATGTAGGAGATATTGTAAGGAAATCATTCCTCACCAACATTGATACACTCTGTCAATGTTCTAACCGTATCGCATTATATATCCCCGTTATATGTAGCCTGTTTGTAATCTCCATTGCCAGTGTTTTCTCTGTGTTATTTTTTCAATGTTATTCTCGTTTCAGCGGAGCTCAGTTTCCCTGATTATGTCTCGCATTAAGCGGCCCCGAACTACGGGCCCAGGAACAGGTGCACCCACCTACGGTACGCTAAATAGAGAGCCCTGTCCAGGCACTGACAATTCTATTCTAGACACTGCACCTTAAAGCAGGCTCTCAACGCGCAGATCTCCGTGCCGAGATGCGCAGCACGTGCTAAGTTTGAGCATGTGTTTGTATGCATGGTACGTGCGGGTGTGAAACGTTTTGTTCTATTTTTAATTTACGGTATATGTTTCTTTTTCGGTTTTTGGTTAATTTAGTCCACGCCAAATAGAAAATATGTACAAGAATTATTGAACGGATTCCCTAATCCCGAGCTATTTGCATATTTTCTTATTTACTAAATTTATATTTTCGAAATTTCTCGTAGCGATATCATTCGTTGCTTGATTTTAATATTGGAGTTTAGAATTTGTTGGAAATTTGAATCTGCATGAAAATTTATTGAGAATTATTAAATATATAATTTAAATTAGTCTACCATGGTGGAAAAATTTTTAGCTTCAAACATCTCCTTTGCTTATTGAGTATTACTATAAGTAGTTTCCTAGGAAATATTTAATTGTTGATAATATTAGAGGCAGAACGATTATGATCGATAAAAGACCTATGTTTTAAGGTGTCCCCTAATGGGCCGTGTTTTGTTTCATGATATAATGCTATCTTCAGTTAAAATATTTTATTTTTATTCAACTAAAAGTCGGAAGCCGAGCATTGATTTTTATAGGAGCTTAATGAGCAAGCTTAGAACTTGTAATGTTTTAAAGTGAGCCTGCACTTGAACTGTAATATTAATGTAATTTTTTATTAACATTAAAAATGACTCATTTTATTATCTTCATCATTCTTGCCAAATCAATCGAAATTATGTTTCCCTATCAGTTTAGTATTTGTTCGGGAACAGTGGCGTAACGAAGGGCCCCGCTGACCCCGCTGTGCGGGGGGCGCCAAATCGTCGTTTGAATGTGGGACAATTTCGAAAACTTAACTAAAGTACTAGCAAAACTGCGCGTTTTGCTCTATATACACACTTTTTTAGAGATTTTACCGGCGTATTCTCTAAAATTACCTAATTTGTTCAATTCTAGGGAGGGGCGCCAACTGGCCACTGTTCGGGAATAGCCATCAAAAGGTGTATTAACAAATAAGTTTACTGATAGTGATAAGAAATACTCTTCAAAGTTTCTCCGAAGTGACTTACTGGGCCGCGCTCAGCCTGTCATTCCGCCGAATCTCTATTCTATGTTCATGAACATAATAACCTGAAGTCCCCAGGTAACGAAGTGACGCGCGCCGCTCTTAATCTTCAAGGCTGTTGTAGGTTCATAACCTACCAGGACGCGCGCCGAGTTGGACTCGTCGACGGTCCTAATTGCTAATATTTGGAACAAATATTTTACGAGTATCACCCGTTAACGAGGGTGTCAATCCTTCGCAGCTCGGCGTGGCTCAGTGGTGCATCGAGCCAATCTAATTTCTAATGAAGGTGTGGTCGCGAGAAGCATTAGTAGCCATCTACTTTAAGGACATCGCCAAAATCGCAGATTTTCTGACCATTCCCACTGTCCGGGTGTGTCCGAATTTTCAAAACGTCCGGATTTCCAGCTACTTGGAAATCCGGACAATTTAGAGTACAAATATGAAATAAAACCAACTCAAATTCATTTGTCATTGACAAGTTTCAACTTCAAGTAACTACACATTTTATTAATAATGACTCATTGTTAATAAAATGTGTAGTTGATTGACGGTGTCAACCCATCGAAATCGTTGCTCTGCGAAGCAGAGCAACGCAGAATGCTAGTTTGCGCGGCGCGTCGAAGCGGCGAAGTCCTCCAAAATGTGCAGTACTAGTTACTTGAAATAGAAAATAATACATTTAGTGTCGAACAAGTTTAGCACAGTTACATTTAAGTACTAATACAACTTATATATAATAAGTAGCCATCCAATCGAATAAGTTTTAAGGCAGTACTAGTAGGAGAATTATATGAAAGTTGTGTCCTGGCTTTCATGAGCTGCTCCATGGGAATCGACCCAGAAACCCTTACTAATACTGGATGGGGCTTAACTTTGAAAGTAAAAGAGTTGGAGACTTCCGGTTTTTTGTAACATGTTCCTCTTTTAAACATTAAAAGTAACGTTACCTCCCCAGGAGGATAATTCAAGACAACGTAGTTGTTGAGTTATCTCAAAATCTCCAGAAAAGTCCCATTTCGGGCCGATCAAAAGTTTGCAACTTTAACTTTGCGGATTCCTGTACTCTGATTGGCTGAATTGTGTCACGTGGTAGCTGCTTGAACATTGGAATGCGCCACGCGTGCAAATCATGCTTAATGTCGCGCGCGATCAGGTCGAGCCGTCTGTTTAAATTAAACCATGACTCTAATTATACATGTAGTAGTACCACCACCAGCCAGAAACTTTTCCTGGGTTTCTTTGCAGTTTGCACTTTGGTCCTCCTGTGATTAGTGAAACGACAATGGGGGTCACGTTGACACACGCTGCAACCCCTTTTGTTCGCGCGGCGGCCGGCCGGCCGGCGTGCACGCTTCGCGTGCACGAGAGGTTATACTAATACAACGTGTTTGTTTGGGGACTGGTTTGTAAGCCAGCCAATGTTTACGAATATAATATTAATAACTTTATTACATAATCATAAATATATATCATAAATATTTCAAATCTGAAACACAAATTTGCACGCAGTTAATAAACTGCGTGCAAATAGCAAGGGTCACGACGTGATACAATGTTTCATAACGCCATCAAACTGTGCAAAATATTAACATGGATCATCAAAAATGTAGCAGCAGTAGCAGAAATTTGCATTTGTAACTTTATCATTATTGATTATGCTGGTCGTAATGCCTTGTCATACGTTGTATGACCCGCCGCGCACGAAGTGCGCGGCTCCCCCTGTATCGTCAAAGACTATAGTGAAGCGACCGTGGGGGTCACCACGTGATACAAGTAATGCCTATGTTATTACTCGCTCAGTTTGGCAAACCGGAGAAAACTCTGATCTTTGGAAAAATCCTCTACAGCGTCATGGGATGTAATCTTTTAATTTTTTTCTATTAGCCAACATTCGACATTTTTCTTGAAAATATCCGGTCATGTCGCTCAACAAATTAATGAGTTGTAAGTGCCTCAGATCGAAAAAACTTGGCTGGGTTTGACCAGACACCACCTAATCACGGTGTTATGAGCTTCTCACCATTGGCACCATTGGGGGGGGGGGGGGGGGGGGGGGGGGGGGTTCACCCTAATTTTTTTGTGAAACTTGGTTTCGAGATAGCAGTTGAACAACAAACTAGGACCGGTGACCGAACTTTTGAGGGGGTCCTGGACCCCAACCGCCAAACGGTGCCCGCGGGGCAGCCACGCCCATATTTGGTCCAAATTAGGCCCAATTTAGCCAAATACCCTCAACATGCCCAAAACCCAGATTTTAGGTGCTTTACTTGTAGCTAGTGGTCCCCTGAACTCGTATATGAATTTTCATCAAGATTGGACAAAAAATGACTGAGTTATGAGCCAAAAACCATATGCCCATATTTGGGTATACGCACCAAATTTGGTCGATTTTGGCCCATAAATTGGTCAAATATCAATATTTTTGAATGAAACCAACTTTATATGGAAGGTAAGCCTATACTACACATTCTCTATGATTATCAGCTCAGTATCTACCTAACTGTGGATTCTGTGCTCAATTAATCGCAAAAAATGAACAAAATCGCCCATATCTCAGTTCGCGATATTTGCGAAACTGATTTCGTTCAAAACAATAGAACTCAATAGGGTTTCAATATTTTTACATGAAATTTTCAGAATCAACGTAGAATCGCATTTCGACCTTAAGTTTTCATATGGAATTTTGAGTTAGGCCTTTAAAAAAATTTGGCGGCCAAATTCTGAAAAATGCCCGATTAATTGAGCACAGAATCCACAGTTAGGTAGATACTGAGCTGATAATCATAGAGAATGTTTAGTATAGGCTTACCTTCCATATAAAGTTGGTTTCATTCAAAAATATTGATATTTGACCAATTTATGGGCCAAAATCGACCAAATTTGGTGCGTATACCCAAATATGGGCATATGGTTTTTGGCTCATAACTCAGTCATTTTTTGTCCAATCTTGATGAAAATTCATATACGAGTTCAGGGGACCACTAGCTACAAGTAAAGCACCTAAAATCTGGGTTTTGGGCAAGTTGAGGGTATTTGGCTAAATTGGGCCTAATTTGGACCAAATATGGGCGTGGCTGCCCCGCGGGCACCGTTTGGCGGTTGGGGTCTGGGACCCCCTCAAAAGTTCGGTCACCGGTCTTAGTTTGTTGGTCAACTGCTATCTCGAAACCAAGTTTCACAAAAAAATCAGGGTGAACCCCCCCCCCCCCCCCCCCCCTTAACAATGGTCAAAAAATAGTCCATTAACAATGTTATTGTTAATGGTCTGGCCCGGCGAGCACTTGCCATCGGGCCATTTCGAGAAGATTTTCGAGAACATTTCGAGAAGAAAGCGGCGCGCGCTACTTCGAAGAAATTTAGACGAGTAACATCCGTCAATATTTTTATTTCAATCCTGCCTCATTTTGTATCCGGGATACTATCCCTTACAATACGTAGCAAATTACTTGGGGATCCCAGGCTATTGTGTTCATAAACATGAATAGAGATTCGGCGGAATGACAGGCTGAGCACCGCCCGGTAAGTAGCAAATCGCGAATCTGCGAATCACCCTGGTCACTAATAGTAATTTATACTTCAACTTGGATAGTTGGATCAATCCATTTATTTACTTCGCAGGTAACTCTGCTTTCGAGGAATTTACCAACAAAAAAACTTTTGTATTAGAGACAAAGTTCGACAATTCAAAAGGATGTTTTAGCTACAAGGGCTAGGTCTGACGATCCGTTAATGTTATTTCAAATTGACTCTAAATGAATATTAATCGTTAATATTTTAACATGAACTGTTAAATTGCTGTCAACATTCTGTACAAACTTCGTAAAAAACCCGGTATAAAAAGGTTGAAGATCATTTTTTATTACTAATGAAAAAATTATTAGGGAGCGTTCACATATAACGTCAGCAAGATTTTGCCCAATTTTACCCCCCCCCATCCCCCCTGTCAGCAACTGTCAGCATTGAGCGACCCCCTCCCCCCTAATGACGTCAGCATTTTCCAGACGGGGTTTAATGCTTGGGGAGAGGTCTTCAACTCAGTTCTTAGTTTAGGGTAATACTGTCAAAGGATCACATTTATCCACTGTTACACCTGAACAACATGATTTATATCGAAACCACAATAGTCCAACTCAGGGAAGGCAGGGAGAATAGAAGTCGATTATGAAATTGATCATAGTCATTGCTCGCAGAGTTCGTGCCGCTGCTTAATGTTTATCTAAAGAACCCACAAGTATTGACCGCGGATCATTTTCCCATTGATCATCCACCGTAAATACCTGTAATACTAATTATAAAGTCATCTTTACTACACGAGGATAGTTTTCAATAAAATCTACCATTTTATCACATGAATTCTGTGACCTCATGTGCCTCTTCTTTTTTATAATTAAGTTCTGCCATGTTTGAAGTCTGGTGTGATTGTTTCACGAGAATTATTATCAGAAATTTCAGTTAAAAAATAACATGATCTGGAGTTAGAGATCACCACGTGCGGTTCCAGATCACTATTATACGCACGTGCATTATCTCAATATAAAGGAGCTGTTGCTCCAGGTCTTTTTACCAGCTGCTGCACCACCTTCTGGTCTATTTTCTTAGGTTAATAATAATATTGATGAT